TAGGTAGCAATGTTTTCCCTCCAACTTGATAGCATTCCTTGAACCTTTCTTAAAGAGAAGGGTCCCGGAGAAGGGTTCTGGAGAGTCCACTGATAATTACTTTTCTCTTTGCTAATTGTCTCAAATATAAATCACATTCACTTTAAGTTATTTAGTTACTCAGAATACCTAAGAGCAACAGTTTATTTATCTTATATTTAACTTCAGTTTAATCTACCTAGTTATATAAGTACATACACAAGTCCATACACAATATGACATAAGTTAATGGAAGGAGCTCAATCAGAATAGCTAATTTCTGAATGAAACCGGGTATCACAAATCTTACAGAAAAAGTAGCTACGGTTAAGGTCTATGTAGTATTGCCATTAGGCCTGTAATATCAATCTTAAATAAGGAGGTGAATGATGCAGGTAAAATCATAAGGCAAAAGATCTGTTCATTTGCAGAAATTTGTTGACATTAACCAGGCATTCCCTTTTTATCATACTATCAGATGCCTTCTCTCTCATATTTGTCAAGGGCCAGTTGAAGTTCTCAAGTTCGCGTTAGGAATAACATGCTTTTGAAAGGCACAGGTATCTCTCTTAGGGTGACTCTACCTCGGGCCAAACAGATCTTCCTAAACAAAAGACAACTCTCCTCTGAGTTTCTGTCCCAGGTTTGGTAACATGAACCCACTCTGTCTGTACTCTATGCATTTGGAATCCTGAACCTATTCCAAGTAGACTATGTAATGGATATACTAAATCAACGGCAGAACATTAATTAAAAATTCTCCAAGAATAATATTTAAAAAAATGTTTAAAATCATCTATATTGGAGGTCTAATGAAAAAGTTTAGTGGTAACATAGATTATAAATCACCAAAATGTAAGCTTCAAGGGGGCAGATGTGTTTGTCTCTTTATTCACTATTAGATACACTGCACCTAAAAGTGTGTCTGGTTCTTGGTAAGAGAGTAGGAACTCGATGAATATTTGCTGAATGATGAATGAATATTAAAATGATAAAAGAATTAAGTGCTTAAAAAATAAAAATCATGAGTTTCTGCACTTAAGCAAAAATATAAACAAATACAGCCAGTATTGTAACTTGGGGGATCTTTGGGTTAAAATATTCGAAAATGATGCTACAGCCAACATAATGATTGACATAAAATAATTTGGGGCCTCTCCTAAGGAAATAAAAGCATTTGAATAGCTATGTTGTTACTATAACTTTCTAAACCATTCATATAAATTTTCACAATATGGTATACTTAATTACATAATAATAATATGTTTATTTAGTGGTTTGTTTGCACATTAAAGTATCAGTGTATTCGATTCTCCCTGGTGAAATAGGGAAGGTAAATATCATTACTGCTAGTTCACAGATGAAGAGATTTAGGCTCAAAAATATTAAATGTCTTATAAAGATATACCCCATTAAGTCCTAAGTTCCTGTTTAAGAAGAAAATGTGAATAATTAACAAACTAAAAAGCAACAACAACAACAACAACAATAATAATGCAACTAATGTAACCCCGAATATTGTTCAAAGTCCTTTCATATCCTATTCTTACCAATGACACTGGGAGGTTTGTAGTAATTTTAATTCAATTTCTTAGAAGCAAAAACAATGACCTGGTAAGACCAAATAACTCCCACTGAGAGATATATCTAGTAAATCATGGAGGTGGGACTCAAACCTATGCTTTCTGACACCAAAGCATGTGTCGGAAAGCCTGGCTACCCACTACTCACCTCTTAATCCTATGGTTTTGTCATGACTTCTATGATTACACATGTTGAAATGATACACACAAATATACTGCATAAATATATCTTTCTATTATTATTATAAATATGACATATTTACCCCAGAAATTGCATATGCACATGGAATTGGTTTTGTTTTCCCATTAACAGTGGTAGCCCATCATCTGCTAAATTACCTAAGTCCCACTCTAAGCTATTAGTTATAAATTGGCTACACATTTTATTAAGGAGAGTAGTTGTGATTGGGAAGCCTACACTAATGGTGTGTGATAATTCACTTGTTGTTGACATACACTGGTATATACAGAAAGGCAGAAATGACCCAGGCAACTCCACCGAATTCCCAGTTGTCTTTCTCTTCTATGCAAGCTGCTAGGAAACTTCTCAAGTGCAGTGGTAATGTTTAGGGCACTGCTATCCTACAGATCTCTTTTATGTCTCTTAGCCATTGCGTAAGATTGCAAACTTTCCAACAGACATTCACAGTATGTGCTCGAACCATGTTTATATGTATAGTCAGTGACCTCTCAAATATTTAGTATGCATGAATTTTATTTTAAATTTTATACCTTTTCCCAATAGCTGAGGTTTAAGCAGACAGTCTGATAAGAAAAGTAGACCAGTAATTAATGCATTCAAGCATTTGAGTGCCTTCTCTCTATAAAGACAGAGTACTAAGTGCCCGACATTTATGCTATACTTTACTTCAGGATATTCTAAGTCACTGAAAAGCCTGCAAGTTAATAATGAAGCACCTCTTTTTTTTGGTTGCTTGGTTGGTTGGATGGTTGGTGGGTTGTTGGAAAGACAAAAGACATAAGAGATGATTTTCTCATTTCTTCTCTCTTTCTTTCTCTCTCTCTCACACACACACACACACACACACACACACACACACACACACGCACACTTTTGCTAAGTCCCCAACCCCTTTGATGTTTTGTATTCAATGTTGGACTTGATTGACACAAGAAACTCCCCGTAGAGAGGCAGGTTTCCTCTGAGCTAAAGCTGGTTTCCATGGGGCTGAATTGCCCATTTAAAAGTATGTGTGGGTCCTTAGGTGCATACAGGGCACCAGTGCCCGTGCCAACCACAGGTCATTCAAGGCCAGAAGAAGGAAGACATTTGTACTGCACATAAACAACACCAGGCTGTGCAATTTTATTTTATGCATTTTGGCTCCCATTTAGAAAAAAGGAAATCTCATTATCTCGTGGCATATATTTTAAGGTCAGTTAATCATGTAGGTTGTTTTCACTTTGAAAACTACTTTTAAATGGATGATTTTGTGATTGCTTGGAGCTTGGATAAATACTCAGATTGGTGAACAAATATGTCTTAAAGCATCCTTTTCCACCCCCTTCCTTGATTTTCCTTAGATTTGGGGACTGTAGGAAAGGAAAATGCTACCCTAAGTTAGTTGTACAGGTGGGAGAGAATGTTGGCTGGGATAGCCATTTCTAGCTTCCTTAGATTTATTAATTTCAAAGAATATACTATACAAGCAAAACACCAATTAAGTTACTAAGCACTGGAAATTTCAACACACACTCATTTCTTATTTTGTATTGTTCACAATATTTTTTTTTGTCAGGGTGAGTAGAGTTGATTGCATCCAAAAAGCAGAATAGTAAGCCTAGAGCACATCTCAGATGAAGGATATTTTAGTTATGAGTAGTATTGATTTTTTTTAAAGTAATACTTTGGAAATGTTTTAGTAGTGTCTAAACCACCTAATAACATGCACATTATCATGATCTATAGTCTAGAAAAACATAAGTCTGTAGTAAAAGTTAGTATTGGGGATCTTTTCCTTCCTTGAAACATAGATCCCACATGCCTAGAGAAAATGCAAATGAAAGTAGTAAATTTTTATTTTTTTTTCAAATGAGTATGTTCAGTGACAAAAACAAAACAAAACAAAACACTGGTTTCTTAATTTTTGTAAATGGGCTGGCTAATTGCAGGTGAGACCTAGCATAGTAATTGAGAAATTTCGGCTGCTCAAGAGCATCACTATGGGAGTGCCTCGCGTGGTCCCTTGCACGGTTTGTCAGTTCCTGGAAAGGGTGTGCGTTAAAAGTCCTCAGAGCTCAGGGATTCACTCTTGCTGCTTTTAAGTGGGAGATGGGAGATGCGAGAAGCTGGAACCCCATGTGGTATCGGGACTTCACCTGTGGCTTTCTCTGTGACTGTGTCTCTAAGAAGCACCAGAGGTTGGGGAAGAAGGGAGGCAAGTGAAACTAATAGAACAGAAACTGGGTTAAGTTTGAAAGGAAATGAGGTGAAGAGCTTTGCCAACTCCCAAAGCTCAGAACTTCCGCTATGCCTCCAGAGACCAAATCTTGGTGGTGAGTGCTGGGCGTTTAGAGCCACTAGTCCATGGGCCTTCCTTGCCTTTTGCACTCTTCAGGCTGCCCTACCTAGGATCCCCATATTTAGCCTTCAGTCTCCATTTCACCTGAGATCACAGCTCAGAGTCTCCCAGGGACTTCCCTGGACCGGGGACAGGATCATACTAGGTGGCAGGCAGGTGAAGCAGATTCGGGAGCAAGTGGGAAACTTAAGTGCCTGTTGATGTTGCTAACTGACCGTCCTCCTCACTCCTGAACCTTCAGCTAGAAGTCAGATCCGGACTCTGCCCCACTCTAGTGGATCCCTCCAGACTTTGCGGACTCTAAGTGGAAGAACCCGTCTTAGGGATGAAAACTTGGAGGCTCTGGGCTAGCTGGCTCTAGGATAGTCCTACGTCCCTAGGGGTCCCGGATTCAACTCGGTATCCCGGCATGCCTGCGAGTACCCAGAGCCCAGGCTGCGGGGCACCAGGGCTGCGGATCTGGACCGCCCGCCGGACGCCCTCCCAGGCGTCTGGGAGAGCTCATCTGCGCGCCCAACTCAAGTGGCTGCAGCGGCGCGCGACGCCTCACCCAGAGTAGGGTGCCAGCCCCTGTGAGCCTGGATCCCTGCACTTTTGCGCGCATACCCGGAGCACGAATTGAAAAACCCGCCATCTGTACCTCCCAGGGAAGTCCAGGACCCGCCAGGAGGGAAGCAGTGACGCGGCTTTCCCTTTTTTTGTAGAACCTCCCATGAGCTCTGACCTCCACTATCCCCAGCTCCTGTCCCCTCGCCAGCGCGCGCTTCTCCCGCGACCCGCTGCTTTCGCGTTGGCCGCGGGGAGCGACCACGTCCCCGGAGCCGGCAGCCGGGGGCGCTCCTCTGAGCTCACTCACCGATCCTGAGTACTTGCGGGGCGCTCTGGGGGAGAACGTAGCAGAGGAAATAGAGGAGTGTCCAGCTGGTGTCCCTGGTCCAGAGCCCAGGCTGGGCGACGAGTGTGCCGCGCTCCATCTTCCTAGCTTCTTAATTCATGCCGAGACACAGCCGCTGCCTCACGCCCGCAAGATGCACCCCCCTTGGGCCAGGTCCCCACCTCATCCTCTCTGGATGCTCCGGGTCCGCACTCTGCACGCTGTCCCCAGAGCGAGGTCGAGGAAACCCGCGTGGAAACGCGGAGCTGGCTGGCAAGGCTGAGCTCGCTCGGGGCTCCTCGCTTCTGTCGCTAGCCCATCACCGCTCCTCCTCCTCCTCCTCCATCGGCCGCAGACCGCGGAGGATCAGCGCGCTCCTGTTCCTGAGCCCAGAGACCAGCAGAGGAAAGTTGCTGCCCCAATTTGCGGGAACGTCTCCCTCATTCGTCCTCTGGTCAGATGCAAAAGTAGGGGCAGGTGGAGGATGCAGACAGAGGAGGGGAAAAGGGGAAAGAAGGCGAACGGGGGAGAGGGTACTGGGTGAGTTGGTGCAGGGCTGTGATGAGCTCTAGCAGGTTAACTGGGATCCTGGGATCGGAGGCACGCTCTTGCTTCTCTCAGTCCTCGCTCTCCCCCTCCCCTCTCTGGCCCCACCCTTTATTTACTGCCCGCCCCAACCCCACTGATCAAGATACACACACGCACACACACGCACACACACACACACACACGCACGCGCACACACACACACACACACACAGACACAGGCACGCACGCACGCACCCAGAGGCACGCTCATTCTCCCTCTCCCTCAACTTTGCGCTCTGCTGCCGGAAAGTCAATTGAGTGTTGCATCCTCCAGGCAGATCGAATCTAAACTATCCTCCGAGCAGAGGCAGCCTCTGCTATCTGCTCTGAGTGGCCAGAGGGACCTCCTAGGTAATGTCCCTGTGCTCCTATTAGGGGGTCTCAGAGACGTCCAACTATGGCTGGTCCTATCATTTAATGGAAAATTGTCTTTTTGAACACCAGGATTTCGGAGACCATCAGAGCTCCCTTTTTAACTCTGACAAGGATGAAGAAGAGAAGGAGGAGGAGAAGAAAGAGAAACCTTCAGTACTCTAAGATTATATGGTGGCTTCTTAGCTATTTGGATTCGAGATAATTTCTTGTAAATTGCTTCTATTTACACGTGCAGAACTGAGAAAGAGGCAGCCTCCAGCGCTGCTGCTTTTCTTGATTTCTTTTGACTGTCACGTTTGAACACGGGAAGATAGGCTATTTTTACAATGTAGGTTTGGAGACTATTTCTTTACAGAAGGACAAGGACACTTCTCTGGGGAAATCAGTATTTGATCGTGTTGGTTTAATTTCCTTCGGGTTTTGTAGGGAATGTTCTACATAAATGTTTGCTAGTTCTGTGTGTACATCTCATAGAGATTTTTTTTTTCTAAGTATGGATTTTGGAACACTAATTGAAACTGAGTCAATCCATATGAAAAACGGGTCCACAGTTACATGGGCCTAGGATGGGAAACAATTGCAAAAGAAATCTAATATATCTTAAAATGCATTCATTCATTCATTCATTTATTCAACAGATAACTACTGAGTATCTTGTATGTGGTGCCACTCTATTTTTCACTGAAAGCCCAAGGGAGGCTAGAATCTCACTGCTGGAAGGTGGTCAGTTCACACATCAAGTAGTATGCCTCATTCTGGACACTTTTAGCTGACAGTTGACAAAATAGAACATATCTGAAGATAAGAAGAGGGACTGATATGGATTTAGGAATGTATGTTATACATGGGAAGACTGAGGAAATCAAGAAGAATTAGGGGCATATACTGGTTATCTTTAGAAATTTGAAGAGATCACACGTTAAAAGAAAGTAGTCTTACTCGGTGTTAGTGAAATGAGAAGAAATAAGAAAAATAAGAATGATGGATGGAAATTGTAGAAGAGGTTATAAATTTCACCTCATTTTGGGGAGCATTTCTAAAACCAGAGAGTGCCTAACAATGGCATGACCTGCTTCAGAAGAGTCAAACTCTCCATTCATTCATTTGCTCATTTATTAGATTTCATGCATATTTATTGGGAAACTACGATGTGTGAGGCATTGCGCCAAGCCCTGGAGAAACAGCAGGGATACGGATATTGCCATCCTGAAACTCATAGGCTTTAAATAAGTATGACCATGAACATGAAGCGAAAGAGGAATCTAACCTCGTTTAGGAGTTTGGGAAGGACTTGTTGAAGGAGTGATGTTTCAAAACTCAAAGAATGGGTAGCTTATAAGTGATTGGTAAGTATTTAATAAAGCAAGAATAAATGCAAAACTGTTAGAGGATTTATTTTTAAACCTGAAGATTTGTGTTGCGCATATTCAGTGGTCATTTTTTTCTTGATACATCCAGGGCCAATCTATAGTAGTACAGTATGGCTAGAATTTACTAGAACCCAAGGTCTAGAATTAAGTCAGCTTTTGAACAAAGTGTTTAAATTCTGGTTTTATCAATTTCTAGGTTTTTAGCCTTGGTTAAATTGCTTTATCTCTCTGTAGTAGGTTGCTGGTGCTTACCCTCATCTAGTTCTCTCCTTCTCTGATGCATGAAAGCCTGTACCTTTTCAGTTAGGTGGAACCATGTGACTATTTGCCAATGAAATGTGAGTGGAAGCTCACCACTTCCAACTGAAGAGGAAGGCAGTGAATAGATTCTATGTGGTTCTGCAGGACTCTCTTTTCCTGCCAAAGTAATTCTGAAAGCCACAAGTTCTAGAGGTCAAGATGAAAGCAGCCTGCATCCCTGAGCTATATTTTGCAAGGGAGTTGATCAGAATAGTTGTCAGTCCAGCAACATGCTGGTGACAAATCAGGCACAATTCAATTCTATGTTTTAATCCACAAAAATGTTGAGATGTTTGTTATTGCAGCATCACCTACTCTTTACTGATAAACTCTCTATGACTTATCCTCATCCGTAAAATGAGAATAATAATAGCACTCTAGGGCCATTGGAGGATTATATGAGCTACTTGCATATCAAGTGTTTCCCAAAACCCTTGTTACTCGGTATATATTAGTTCATTTGTGGTAATTACTTTTCTGATTAAAATCATGCATACATTTGTAGTTGCAATATGCCCCAGATTGCAGATATTAAAATATTTTGTTTGGAGGGAAAGGAGTCAACAATATTATTCCAATTAATAGTATGCTAATTGTAATTGGTCGATTGCAATTTAAGGAAATTTTGTTACTTTTTAACGGTGTTATCATTGGACTATGAGTAAACAGTTCATTTTGGTAGTTAGAGATATTAGAGAGATTGCCATATCCTAAAGCATATTTCTTAAAGCATAAATGTCACACTTAAGTTACTTTTCTGTATCATCTGTAAAATTCTGTAAAGCTTAAAGTGGAAATTTATTTCCTTGTTAAAATGCTTCCCTCCACTGCTCATGTATACAGGCTCATGGTGTTGAGTTACTCATGAGTGATCTGCAGCTGCTGTTAATTTGTGTTGTGCTTTTTAGAAGGACTGTATTTTGTGCATGTATGCATCCAGTTTTTTTTTTTTTTGACAAAAATGATTCTGGTAATCACTCTTGATTCACAATTTTTCATTGTGCCCTCTTAAGAATAAAAATGTCCAACTGAATGCATGCTGTCTTTTTCCCATTCTCCAAATTTTAAGCTTAAGTTGATAACTGTGGTTAGTAATAAATCAGCACAATAGTGTGCAGCATTGTGCTTTCTATGAGAGCTGGTGGCATTAGTTAGGTACGAATCCATTTAGAATTACTTGACTTTTAGAAGATAACTGGATACAAAGAAAAATTGCTTAGAGTAAGCTAAGGAATACAGATGTTATACTGTGTTTTCAAAATGTGGTGAGTATACTTGAATATACTTATAATGTTACCTAGGGCACTGAAATCAAAAGATCAAGTGCCTTTTACAGCCTGCTGAGAACTTGTAGCCGATTTAGGATCAAAATCCTGAGTTCTTGGCTTCCTATTTATACTCTTTCTTGCTAGGTGATGCCACATATTTCTATGACATTAAATACTACCTTTAAAGCAAAGATCCCCAAACTTTGTCTATTGCTCAGATCTTGCCTCTGAACTCCAGAATCATGCAGCCAACTCTACCATTTCTAACTGACTCAACATCTCAAACTCCTTTTTTTAGCTTTAATTTTCATTTCTTGTTTTTTAATTTCAGCATATTATGGGGGTACGAATGTTTAGGTTACATATATTGCCTTTGCCCTGCCTGAGTCAGAGCTACAAATGTGTCCATCCCCCAGATGGTGCGCATTGCACCCATTAGGTGTGAATATACCCACCCCCCCCACCTGCCTGACACCTGATGAATGTTACTACTATATGTGCACTTAAATATTGATCAGTGAATACCAATTTGATGGTGAGTACATGTGGTACTTGTTCTTCCATTCTTGTGATACTTCACTTAGTAGAATAGGCTCCAGCTCTATCCAGGATAATACAAGAGATGCTAGATCACCATTGTTTTTTGTGGGTGAGTAGAACTCCATGGTATACATATACTGCATTTTATTAATTCACTCATGTATTGATGGGTACTTGGGTTGTTTCCACATCTTCACAAACTCTCAATTCCATACCGTGTCATTGCCCCCACACCAAGTCCTCTCTCAAATTTTCCCATTTCCATCTGAGCACCACTTTCCATCCTGCTATTAAAACTGGAAACCCAGCAAGCCACCGTTGACTTCTTTCTTACTTCTGCCCCTCACCTCATACCCAGTTTATTTTCATACACTAATGGTTTTACCTTCAAAACATGCCTTTAATATGCTTCTTCGAAGTTTCACTGTTATCCTACTAGCCTGGGATTTCTCAACCTCAAAACTTTTGATATCTCGGGGTAGAAATTACTTTTTTTGCAGGCTGTCCTTTTCACTGTAGGATGTTTAGCAACTTCCCTGGACTCTGTCCACTAGATGTCAGTAGTACCTTCCTCCCAAGGTGTGACAACCCAAAATGTCTGCAGACGTTGTCAAACGTCCTTTGAAGTACAAAATCACTCCTGGTTGAGAAGCTCTGCACTAGTCTGGGTCACCAGGATCTTCCATCTGGTCTATCACGATAGACCCCCACAGTCCCTCTCCTCTCATTCGCCTCTTTCTGTCCATTTTGTCTGATCTAAATTAGCTCCTCCCAGTAGTTTCCTTCACAGTGCTCTGCTTC